GGGGAGGGGAAGGAGGCCAGGATTTCAAACCCTCATGGAGGTTTGGGGGGGATCTCAGGGGGAGCAGAGCCTGGGCTTCGCAGCTGACACCTGCACCCCCACAAACAAACTGTCAGCCCCCCGAGCAGAGCAAACCCCACCCCAGCCTGACCCCCATTCCTTCCAAAGCACCCAGCACGGGGACCCCCCACACCCTCCCGCGCCCCTCCCCGGCTCTTCTTCTGTGTGCGGTGGTGGCGGTCATGTCTCAGGTTTAGCCGGGCACCGTAGCTCACGCCTGTCATCCCGGCCACACAGGAGGCTAAGATCTGAGAATCGAAGTTCCAAGCCAGCCCAGGAGGGAAGTCTGTGAAATGCCTAACTCCAAGGAACTAGCCAAAAGCCAGACATGGAGTTGTGGTTCAAGTGGTAGAGCACCAGACTTGAGTAAAAAAAAAAAAGCCACAAGGCAGCAGAAGGCCTTGAGTTCAAGTCCTGGTACTGACACAAAAATTAAAAAAGAAATTCTTCCCAGGACTGGGGCGTGAACTCGGGGCCTCTGGCACTCGCTAGTTTTGTGGGGTTTTTCCCTCTCAAAGCTGGTGCTCTACCACTTGAGCCGCAACTCCACTTTCAGGGTTTTGCTGGTTCATTGGAGATAAGAGTTTCACAGACTTTGCTGCCTGGGCTGGCTTCGAACCAGGATCCTCAGTTCTCAGGCTCCCGAGTAGCCGGGATGACACACGTGAGCCACCAGCGCAAGGCTAAAACAAAAGCAGCCCATTTGGGTTGGCTCTTTTTGTTTTGTGCCAGTCCTGGGGCTTGAACTCAGGGCCTGGGCGCTGTCCCTGATGATTTTTGCTCAAGGCTGGTGCTCTACCACTTGAGCCACGGCACCAGTTCCAGTTTTTTTGTGGTTTATTGGACATCAGAATCTCACCGATTTTCCTATACCCCAGGCTGGCTTTGAACCAGGATCCTCCGATCTCAGCCTCTGAGTAGCTGGGATGACAGGCGTGAGCCACTGCACCCAGCCTTGGTGGATTCTTATTGCGTTTATTTGTGGTTTGCTTTTCAGATGGGAGTCTCCCTGTGTTGCCAAGGCTAGTGGTGAACTCTGGGACTCAAGAGATCTTCCTACCTCAGCCTCCCAAAGTGGCTGGGATTACAGGCTTGCACTACTGCACCCAGCCATGATCTCGTTTACATGGAGAGGACACTGAGGCTGGAGGAGACAGGGCAGGCGCCTCTCCACAGGCCAGGCACAATCAGGGCTCCTGTCTCTCCAGGCCGCAGCCACAGCCCGGGCCGACCGACCGACCGTCCGCCTGTCTGTCCGGTAGTGTTTTGTTCCACAGCTCTGTCCTTTGTCGCATTCGGGTCATCTGGCCAGGGCCTGGGGCTGGATTTCCTGCAGCTTGCATTGTTCCTCACCTCTCCAGCCGGCTGCACAAAACGTGACCGTCCCCGGGGGCGGGGGGTGGGGTGGGGGATGGAGCCTTGCACGCACACCACGCACACCACGCACGCACCAATCCCCAGATGCACAGCCATTCCAAGGAGGGTGTGTGACCGGCGGCCGCCACCAGGGGGCGGTGTGCGCCCAGGCCTGAGCAGAAAGAGCTGGCAAAGTTGGTGACAGGGCTGGGCGTGTGTGTGTGTGTGTGTGTGTGTGTGTGTGTGTGCGTGCGCATGCGCATCAGCCAGAAAGCCAATACAGGAGCTGACATGCAATTAACCGTATATATAAACAGGGGTCAGTGGCTCCCGCCTGTCATCCCAGCCACTCAGGAGGCTGAGATCTGAGGATCCCGGTTCAAAGCCAGCCCAGGCAGGAAAGTCCGTGAGACTCTGATCTCCATTAAACCACCAGAAAACCGGAAGTGGCGCTATGGCTCAAGTGGTAGAGCGCCCGCCTGGAGCTGAAGAGCTGAGGGACAGCGCCCAGGCCCTGAGTTCAAGCCCCACCATGGACAAATAACTAAACTCAACTAAGACACAAAAGAAACAGGGCAGACAGGACAATGTAATTGGGAGGATGAGAGACAGACAGACAGACAGAGACCGAGAGACAGAGTGCCAGCAAGGAAGAAACCCAGAAGTCAGAAAGCAAGTTAGGGACCAGTAGCTCACGCCTGTAATCCCAGCTACAAAGGAAGCAGAGATGTGTGTGGATCCTACTTTGAAGCCAGACGTTTTGTGAGACTCTGATCTCAATGAACCACCAGCAGCCATGATGGAACCCCTAATCCACAGGTCCACACTGGGGTCTCCTCCCTCTAGCCCCTCCTACACCCCCTAGGTTAGATAGGTCACCCCAGACCCGGCTCCTCTCCCAGCCCTCAGCCTTTCCTTCATTTTCCCTAATACACGGGGGTGTGATCAATGATAGAGGACCCCAAATATTCCCACACGCTGAGACCAGAGGAGGGCGCTCTTATATAAAGTCGGATTTATCCCCAGCGCCGGTGGCGCCCGCCTGTCATCCCAGCCACTCAGGAGGCTGAGAGCTGAGGATCGCGGTTCAAAGCCAGCCCAGGCAGGAAAGTCCGTGAGACTCTGATCTCCCAGGAACCACCAGAAAACTGGAAGTGGCACTGTGGATCAAGTGGTAGAGCGCCCGCCTTGAGCTGAAGAGCTGAGGGACAGCGCCCAGGCCCTGAGTTCAAGACCCACAACTGACAAAAAAAAGAAAAGAAAAAGCGAGAGCGGAGCTCCTGCTTGGGTTTGGGTTTCGTTTGTTAGTTTGGGGTAGTTTTTTATGCCCTTCCTGGGGCTTGAACTCAGGGCCTGGGCGCTGTCCCTGAGCTTTTCTGCTCAAGGCTGGCGCTCTACCACTTGAACCACAGCTCCACTAATGGATTTGGTTTTTGGTGGCTCATTAGAGTCTCACAGCCTTTCCTGCCCGGGCTGGCTTCGAACCACGATCCTCAGACCTCAGCCTCCTGAGGAGCTGGGGTGACAGGCGGGAGCCAGCTGCCCTGAGCTGTTTAGGCTTTTGGGGTACTTCTTCCCAGAAACACCTCCCCCCTGTCACCCCCAAACCACACGAGCCTGACACTGCTGAGCCCAGTGGAAACAGCGCCGTCTGACGAGGCTGAACAGGCCTGAGTAGAAACCGGAAGTCCCGCCTGGCGCTGAGGGAGAACTTTCTGGCAACTTTCTTGCTTCTTCCCAAAGCAAAGTTCTTAACTCTCAAGCAAGAGCCAAACTGCAGGTTTCTGGAAGCTTCCTGAGTCTGTCTCCTGACCTCCTGCCCTTTGCTGACTTGTTCCAACAGTGGGATTTGAATTCGGGGCCTCCGGTTCTCCCTTAGACTTTTTTCCTTCGTTGGTTCCAGGCTGGTGCTTTACTACTTGAACCACACCTCCACCTCTGGTTTGGGGCGGTGGTTCCTTGGAGACAAGAGTCTTGGGGATTTTTTTTCCTGCCCGGGCTGCCTTTGAACCACGATCTCAGCTCTCAGCCTCCTGAGGAGCTGGAGGACAGGCGGGAGTCACGGGCGCCTGGCTTCTCACGGCCTTTTCTACCCCAGCTGGCCTCCAGCAGCGATCCTCCGGTCTCAGCCTCCGGAGGGGCTGGGATGACAGGCGGGAGCCACAGCGCCCTCTCCTGTCCTGTGAGCTGACCGGGACTAAGATGTTTCCTCTTGTTTGCTGGTAGACTCCTCCCAGAGAAGTTTTGTGGGGTACAGGATTAATCTCTCCTCACCCCCGCCCCACTTTGGCCTTCATTTTTCTTCCTTTTAGGGGGAAATCAGCCTGCATGAGCCATTTCATGTTGTGTCCAACATATAACAAGCATTGGAGGCAAACCACGCACCGGTGGCGCCCACCTGTCATCCCAGCCACTCGGGAGGCTGAGATCTGAGGATCTTGGTTCAAAGCCAGCCTGGGCAGGAAAATCCATGAGACTCTGATCTCCCATGAACCACCAGAAAACTGGAAGTGGTGCTGTGGCTCAAGTGGTAGAGCGCCCGCCTTGAGCTGAAGAGCTGAGGGACAGCGCCCAGGCCCAGAGTTCAAGGCCCAAGATTCTGGGAGAGAGAGGAGCCAGCCAGCGTGGGACAGGGGTGGAGGGGAGCCCCGAGGCTGAGGAAATAAACAAGGGGTGTGTCACCCCGAGGCTGCTAGGAATCAGCCCCCTCAGACTTTCCACCACGAAGTGAACCTGAAACCTCGGGCTGTGGGGGGCGGGCACGGAGGGGGGGTTACAGGGGAAGTGGGGGACAGGGGAAGGAATCTGGAGGCACAGCACCCCAAGTCATCACTCTGCTCTCTGCTGCTGCTCTGTTTCCTGGGGTGCCCTGCGGGCCCCCCAAAAAAGAATTGGGCCAACTCTTGTAAGAATCTGGCTCTGGATCCTTGACCCTTCGTGGCTGTCTCTGCGCTCGATTGCCTCCGCTCCCCCTCTCCCACCCCCTACCCCCCATCCCCTAGTTCCTGCCCCCCCATCTCTGTCCCCCTTTGCAGAGCTCAGGCGATCGGCGGGAGATGCGGGAAGCTCAGGTTCTGGGCTGGCTGCTTCCTCTTCTGCTGGGGGCCGCGCCAGGTAAGATGCGGGTGCAGGAGGCTGGCCTCCAATCGCGATCCTCCCCTCCCTGTCCTCCGACTGCCCAACCCCCTTCTGATACCCTACTGAAAAGCCTCTCCATCCACTGACTTACTTTCTGTCTGTCTTTCTTGTCAGTCCTGGGGCTTGAACTCAGGGCCTGGGCGCTGTCCCTGAGCTTCTTTGGCTCAAGGCTGGCGCTCGACCGCTTGAGCCACTTCCGGCTTTTTCTGGGTCTGTGGTGCTGAGGAATCGAACCCAGGGCTCCGTGCATGCGAGGCGAGCGCTCTGCCCCTGAGCCACCTGCCCAGCCGGCCCTCTTCCCTCTTCTCCTCCCGCAGGGGCGGCCTCTGGCCGGGGGGAAGCCATCCCCGTGGTGTGGGCTCAGGAGGGGGCCCCGGCCCGGCTGCCCTGCGGCCCTGCGCACCCCCTCCAGCAGCGCAGCCTGCCGGGGAGCGTGCGGCTCACCTGGAGACACCAACCGGACAGGTACGCACCCCAAAACTGAGCCACAGAGCTCCCCCCCTCGCCGGCCAGCCCACCCCTCCCTGCCCTCCACAGCCTGGGCCTCTGCCAGCTCAGCCCCCCGCGCAGCCGGGATTACAGGCGTGCATCACCAGACTCCAGCTTCCAATCTCTCTCTTGTTCTCTCTCTCTCCTGCCCCAGCCCCCCGACGGCCGCCACCCCGGGGGGATCCCCCGGCCCCCTCAGCTACACGGTGCTGAGCGTGTCCCCCGAAGGCCTGCACCTGCGCCGGCCGCCCCTGGGGCCCCGCGTGCAGCTGGCGGAGCGCGGCCTGCAGCGCGGGGACTTCTCCCTGAGGCTGTGCCCGGCCCTGCGCGCCGACGCCGGCCAGTACCGAGCCACCGTGCACCTGGGCGACCGGGCCCTCTCCTGCCACCTGCGCCTGCGCCTGGGCCAGGCCTCGAGTAGGTGGGGCGGGACTGGGGGAGATGTGAGATGGGGTCTCTTCTTTCCCTCAGGTGTCCAAGAGGGAAAGGGAGGGGAGCTGGCAGTCCAGAGAAGCACGGGGTGGGCACCATGGAGAGATTGCATCACCACCACCCCAAGAACCCCCCTTTTTTCCACCCACAGCCTGGGGAGTACCCCGGTAGGTGGGGGAGAGAGGCGCCCCTGAGAGGGCTGGGGGGTGATTCATTTCGAGCGTTCGTTCTGTAGCTCAGGGGTGCGTTTAGTCCCTGCCAGGCTGTGTGGACAGAGACGGTGCTGACCCCCCATCGCTGCTGCTCCGGGCTGGCGCTCCACCACCTGAGCCGCAGCGCCACGCACAGCTCTTTGGTGAATCCTGAGCTTCACGCCAGGCCCTGGCTCCGTGTCTGGCTGCCGGTTCAGGCGCCGGTGGCTCCCGCCTGTCACCGCAGCAGCTCAAAGCCCGCCCGGGCAGGGAAGTCCCTGAACGGCCAGGAACGGCGGCTCAAGTGGCGGAGCGCCAGCCCGGGACGGCGCCCGGGCCCTGAGTTCAAGCCCCACGGCTGACCAAAAGGAAAAAGAGTCTCATGGAATTTCTTACCTAAGCTGGTTTTGAATCTTGATCCTCAGATCTGCTAAGATGACCAGCTTCCGGCTGCAGTTGGCAAATCTAAACAGCAAGGTTCCAGAACATGTTTCTAGAAGCTTCTAGACTCCCTTTCTAGAACTTTCTAGAACCTTCTGGATTCCCTTTCTGGAACCCTCTAGAACATGTTTCTAGAACCTCAACTCCCTTTCTGGAATCTTCTAGAACCTTCTAGACCCCTTTCTGGAACCTTTGTAGAGCATGTTTCTAGAACCTTCTAGACTCCCTTTCTAGAACCTTCTAGAACATGTTTCTAGAAGCTTCTAGACTCCCTTTGCTTTCTGGAATCTTCTGGATTCCCTTTATGGAACCTTCTAGAACATGTTTCTAGAACCTTCTAGCCTCCTTTTCTAGAACATGTTTCTCGAAGCTTCTAGACTCCCTTTCTGGAATCTTCTGGATTCCTTTTATGGAACCTTCTAGAACATGTTTCTAGAACCTTCTAGACTCCCTTTCTGGAATCTTCTAGAGCACGTTTCTAAAACTTTCTAGGCTCTCTTTCTGGAACCTTCTACAACATGTTTCTAGAGCCTTCTGGGCCCCCTTTCTAGAAGCTTCTAGCTTGGTGGCCTTGCCGTGTTGGCGGGGCTGATGGAGACTCTCCCTTGTCCCTGAGCAGTGACGGCCAGCCCCCCGGGGTCTCTCAGGACGGCCGACCGCGTCACGCTGAAGTGCTCCTTTGAGCGCCCCGAGCCCCCGGCCTCCGTGCGGTGGTTCCGAGGCCGGGGCGGCGGCCGGGTCCCCGTGCGGGAGTCTGTCCATCACCACATGGTGGAGAGCTTCCTCTTCCTGCCCCAAGTCGGCCCCACGGACTCGGGCACGTGGGGCTGCGTGCTCACGTACACGGACGGCTTCCGCGTCACCGTCACGCACAACCTGGAGGTCCTGGGTGAGTCGTGACTCTGCTTTCCTGACCCACGCGCCCCTCCCCGCCCCAAGGCAGCAACGTATTGTTATTAATAATAATAACATATTTGTTTCGGGTCAGTCGTGGGGCTTGAACTCAGGGCCTAAGGCCGCTGTCCCTGAGCTCCTTCACTCAAAGATGGCGCTCTACCACGTGAGCCACAGCGCCACTTCTAGCTTTTTTGCTGGTTTATTGAAGATAAAAATTCTCCTAGAGCCAGGCATTGTTGTCCCGGCCTCCTCGCGGCTCAGGAGGCTGAGATCCAGGTTCAAAGCCAGCCCTGGGCAGGAAAATCTGGGAGCCTCCATCTCCAGTGAGCCAGCAAAAGGCTGGATGTGGAGCTGTGGCTCAAGACGCAGTGTTCAAGCTGTGAGTTCAAGCCCAGGACCAACACACACACACACACACACACACACAGAGCTCTCACAGACTTTCCTGCCCGGGCTGGCCCTGAACCGCGATCCTCAGATCTCAGCCTCCTGAGTAGCTGGGATGGCAGGCTCAGATCCCACCCGACCTTTGCCTTTCCCCTCCAGGTCTGGAGCCCCCAGCTCCCCTGACGGTCTACGCGGCCGCGGGTTCGAGGGCGGCGCTCCCTTGCCACCTGCCCTCGGACCTGGGGAACCACACTTCCCTGGCTGCCCAGTGGGCCCCGCCCGGAGGAGGCCCAGACCTTCCGGTGGCTGGACATCACGGCGACTTCACCCTCCAACTCCAAGCGGTCAGCGTGAACCAGGCGGGGAACTACACCTGCTGCGTCCGCGTGCCGGGCCGATCTCTCCAGACCACCATCACCTTGGCGGTCATTTCAGGTTAGCCATGGGTGGGAAGCATGGCTACTCCCTGAGCTGGGCACTGCTGGTAGTACACGCCTGTAATCCCGGCTACTCAAGAGGCTGAGCTCTGTAGGATTGAGGTTTTTAAAGCCAGCCCCAGGCAGGAAAACCCATGAGAGCAATGAACCACCCCAGAAGTGGCGCTGTGGCTCAAGTGGTAGAGCGCCAGCCTTGAGCTGAAGAGCTGAGGGACAGCGCCCAAGCCCTGAGTTCAAACCCCACCACCTCCATCAAAATGTCTGCTCCTGGCTTCAGGAAGCCAGGGAGGGCAGGCTTGGCTGCTCAGAGACTGAGCTGTCAGTCACCCCAAGACTCCAGGCCCTGGGATTCCACCATGGCCTCTCCTCACTTCTCCGAAAAGAAACTGAAACTGAAAATCTCCCTTGAGTCACCAAGTCAATGTTCCACTGTGTTCAAAGGGGCTCCCCTTTGAACACCTGGGGGGGGCGCGGGGGGCGGAGGCGGCCTGAGAACCTAGACCCGGAGGTGACAGAACTTTGAACAGGCCAAGGCCGGTGGCTCCCGCCTGGCATCCCAGCGACTCAGGAGGCTGAGATCTGAGGATCGCCATCCAAAGCTAGACCTTCCCCCGCCCCGCAGGAAAATCCGCCAGACTCTTGTCTCCAGTGAACCCCTAAAGAGCCAGAAATGAGCTGGGTGGGCCCAGGCTGGCTTTGAACCGCGATCCTCAGATCTCAACCTCCTGAGTAGCCAGGATGGATTACAGGGGTGAGCACCTGACTCGTCTCATTTTTGTCCCAGTGACTCTCAAATCAGGGAAGCTGCTGTGTGAGGTCACCCCGGCGTCTGGCGGAGAGAACTTCGTGTGGCGCCCCCTGGACCCCCAATCCAAGAAGTCGTCCCCAGGACCCTGGCTGGAGGCCGGGGAGGCCGGGCCCCACTCCCAGTCCTGGCAGTGCCAGGTGTACCAGGGGGAGAGGCTTCTGGGGGCAGGGGTGCCCCTCCCGGAGTCCAGGCAAGGTCAGCGGCCCCCAACCCCAACTGTGACCCCATCCCCACCCCCACCACTCCCCACACTTTCCTTTCCGGGTCAGACATCAGATCTCAAGCTCTCTAAGAGTAGCTAAGTATGGCAAGATAGATATAGATGATAGATAAGACAGATAGATGATAAATAGACAGATAAATAGATGATGGGTAGATGATAGAGACAGATAGATGACAGGTAAATAGATAATGAATATGTGATAAGTAGATAGATACATACATAGATAGACAGATAGATGATAGGTAGACAGATAAATAGATAAGATGATGGATAGATGGTAGATGATAGATAAATAGATGGTGGACAGATAGGTGATAGATGATAGATAAATAGCTGATAAATGATGGATAGACAGATAGATGATAGATGGTAGATGCTAGGTAGGTGGTAGATTGTGTGTGTGTGTGTGTGTGTGTGTGTGTGTACGCACGCCAGTCCCAAGATTTGGACCCAAGGCCTGGGTGTTATCCCTTAGCTTTTTTCCCCCCTTGCGGCTGGTGCTCTACCGCTTGAGTAATGCCTCTACTGTCAGCTTTTTGATGGTTCATTGGAAATACAAGTCTCAGCCTTCCCTGCCTGGGCTGGCCTCGAACCGTGATCCTCAGATCCCAGCCTCCTGAGTGGCTGGGATGGCAGGCGGGGGCCGCTGGCACCCGGCTGAGCCTGCGCTTGCTCGGCAGGGGCCCGGCGTTCTGGCAAAGCTCCAGGCTCCCTTGGTGGAAGCCGTCTGGCTCTCCTTCTCGCCCTTGGTGCTCTTCTCTTGGTGACCGGAGCCTTTGGGTTTCACCACTGGAGAAGACAGGTGAGTTGTGGCCTTAATCTCCCCTTAGTCCTCAGAGCGCTGTGTGCGCTGGGATTCGAACTCAGGGCCTGGGTGCCGTCCCTCAGGGCTGCGTAAGCCACAGCTCCACCACTGCAGGCTGTTGGTGGGCTGGCTTTGAACCAGGATCCTCAGATCTCAGCCTCCTGAGTAGCTGGGATGGCAGGCGGGAGCCGCAGATCCCCAGTGTAGACCTGTCATGAGAGCCCTTTCCACAAGCCCCTGCATTTCAGGGACTCCCTTCTTTCTTTTCATAGTTCCTTGTTCACCCCCCCCTCCCTCATCTCTCTCCATCGCTTCCCACAGTGGCGTCCAAGAAGGTTTTCGGCCTTAGAGCTTGGGACTTACCCTCCCCAGGCTCCCAGCAAGACGGAGGAGTGGGAGCTGGACATGGAGCCGGAGATGGAGCAAGAGCTAGAGCCACCCACAGAGCCGGAGCTGACGCAGCTCTGACACCCAAGAGCCAGGCTAAACAATGTCCACAGCTCGGTCCAAATAAACCCAGCAGCCGCAGCCGCCGGGTGTGGCCGTTCCTCATCCCCAGAAGGCCCTATCCCTCCCGGCCTCCTGGGGCTCCTCCCATCCCCTTCCTTCCCTCCCTCCATTGGCCAGTACCAGGACTGAATCCAGGACCTAGGCATTGCTCTTTTTTGCTCAAGGCTGGTGCTTTGCCACTGGAACCACACCTCCACTTCTGGCTTTTAGGTGTTTTTTTCTTGTTGGTCATGGGGCTTGAACTCAGGGCCTGGGCGCTGTCCCTCAGCTCTTCGGCTCAAGGCTGGCGCTCTACCCCTTGAGCCACAGCGCCACTCCTGGTTTTCTGGTGGTTCCTGGGACATCAGAGTCTCAAGGACTTTCCTGCCCGGGCTGGCTTTGAACCGTGATCCTCAGCCTGGCCTCTGCCACCCTCCATCCTTTTCCCCCTTTTCCTGGCCTGGAGCCCCACCCCCTCCCCCGGAAGGCAGGAGACAGGTTAAAAACAGAAGCGCGACCATTTCTTTATTAAATTATACAAAAAGGGGAGGGGAAGGGGGCAGCTAGGGGGCTCGGCCCCACCCCCGGCCCCACCCCGGCCTGGCGCTGTCTGGGAGAATGGAGGGGCTGTGGGGGGGATGTAAGGGAGACACCAAGGACCGATCAGGCAGGCGGATGGGGGAATGGGAAGAGCCCAGGGCCTGGATCTGGGATGGGTGGCAGGGGGGGAGGGCAGGGGGCGAGGGGTGACTGGGGTCCACCTGGGAGACTCAGGAGGAGAAGCAGGTCCGGGGCAGAGGGGCAAGGGTGAACAATGGCAAAAGTACGGAGGGACATTGGCTGGCTGGGGAGGCCGGAGAAGGGAGGCCCGAAAAGAGAGGCCCGGAAACAAGACACACCCCGCCCCCACCTCAGGGAGCCAGGGGAAGGGGAGGGAGGGCTCCGTGTGTGTGTCCCCCACCCGCCCCCACGTCCAGGCCCCCCACCCAAAAAGAGGGGGGGAAGCCTCCCGTCCCCAGCCCACTGGAAGGGGGGCTCATGCCGACGCCCCATTCGCTGTCTTCTGTCGCTTGGGATCCGCTTCTTCCTGTGGAGAGGGCGAAAAGAAGGGGTGGATATCTCCCTTACCCAACAGGACAGGACCCCCCACACCCCAATTGCCACACGGTTCAGGGGTTCAAGCCCCGCGGGCGGTACCGCCTGGGGCAGCCCCACACGGCCCAAACCTCTTCTTCGGCAGCTCTCTTCAGCGCGGGCCCTTCATCCTCCTCATCTTCTTCTTCCTCATCTGAGAGCCAGAAAAGGGGTGATTGGGGAAGCGTCGGGGGGCCCTGGCACCGAGCCCGCGGGCTGCCCTCTGCGCCTCCCCCTCCCCCCAGCCCCTCCCTACCTTCCTCTTCATCCTCTTCCTCCCCATCCTCGGCCGTTTCCTCCTCCTCTTCCTCGGCTCCGTTCTCTTCCTCCTGTGGGGAATCGGGAGAGTCAGGCAGGCGGGCTGTGTGCCCACCACCCAAGGTACGGGGTGGGGAGGGGGTACACACGGGTAGCTCACGCCTGTAATCCCGGCTACCCAAGTGGCTGAGACAGGAGGATCGCGGTTCCCAGCCAGCCGGGGCGGACAAAAACTCTCTTGGGTTTTATTTCCCCCCATGAGCTGGCAAAAAGCCGGAAGTGGGGCTGTGGCTCAAGCGGTACAGCACCAGCCTTGAGCTGAAGAGCTGAGGGACGAGGATCAGACTCTGAGTTCAAGTTCTACACCAGCACGTATGCGCACACACACACACGCGCACACACACACACACACACACACACACACACGGAAGGGGAGGCAGTCAGGGTGAGGGAGTCCTGGGAATGGAGGATGGTGGACGCATGCGTGATCCTCTTCGAACCTCCACTACTTCTTTCTTTCGCTCCTTCCGCACGGCCTTCTCCTCCACCTTCTCCTTCTTCTCCTTGAGATCCTGCCAGGGACACAGAGGCTCCGTTTAGGATCAGCAATGGCCTCCGGCTCTAGGGTCTCAAGAGTGAACCCAGGTAGCCACACGGCTTAAGAGATGAGACCAGAGCCCCCAGCTCCCGCCTGTCATCCCAGCTCCTCAGGAGGCTGAGATCTGAGGATCGCGGTTCAAAGCCAGCCCAGGCAGGACAGTCTGTGAGACTCTTTATCTCCAGTGAACCAGCAAAAAAGCAGGAAGTGGCGCTGTGGCTCAAGTGGTAGAGCACCAGCCTTGAGCTGAAGAGCTGAGGGACAGCGCCCAGGCCCTGAGTTCAAACCCAAGGAACAGCGCATGCACGCACACACACACACACACACACACACACACACGCACACACACACACACACACACACCCCTGCATCTTCATACCAAAGGATCATAAAAGGTACAAATTGGAACTGAGGGTATGGCTCAAGTGGTAAGATTCCAGCAAGTAAGAGACCCTGAGTTCAAGCCCCAATAGTGGCAAATACCCACACAAACGAAGCACTTTGGCATAAACAGTCAAAGCCTGACCCTGGCGGCTCCCGCCTGTCATCCCAGCTGCTCAGGAGGCTGAGAGCTGAGGATCTCAGTTTGAAGAGAGCCTAGGTGGAGAAATCTATAAGACTTTTTATTGGTGGTGGTGGTGGTCATGAGTCTTGAACTCAGGGCCTGGGCGCTGTCCCTCAGCTCTTCAGCTCCAGGCGGGCGCTCTACCACTTGAGCCACAGCGCCACTTCCAGTTTTCTAAGTGGTTCACTGCAGATCAGAGTCTCATGGACTTTGCTACCCAGGGTGGCTTTGAACTACGATCCTCTAGATCTCAGCCTCTTGAGTAGCTAGGAGGACAGGCGTGAACTAACAGTGCCTGGCCCTAGGAGACTCATAGCCGACGAACCACCAAAAAGCTGCAAGAGGCGCTGTGGCTCAAGTGGTAGAGCACCACCCTGTGGAAAAGCGACAGGACTCAGGCTCTGAGTTCAAGCCCTGTGTACACACACACACACACACACACACACATACACGGAGAGGGGTGGCTTGACATCTAACACCTCCTTCCCCAAGGGAGTAAGAAACTGAGGAAGAAATGGGGAGCAGGCAGCCAGGGTAACCACCGCACCCCAAGTTCTCCCACACCTCCCAATCCACCTGCCCTGGGCACCTTTTGTAAACTACGTCAGTGTCCTTTTCCTGAGCAACCTGTCCCTCCCAGGGCCTCCCTCGGCAAATCAGGACTTTGTTTCCCTAAGTCTCTCTAATTCTCCAGGGATAGGGAGAGAACCCTCCAGAACACTTCCGGGGCCAGGCCCTCCCTTACACCAACCCTAACCCCAAACATTTTTAGCGGCTCCACCCCCCCCCCACTTCCTGGGTGTAGCCAGCAGTTAGGACAGAAGTGGCCGTTTGCAAGTGGAAAGAATTCTGGGTAAAGATCAAAGAAATCTGGAAGGTGCCAGTGGCGCACACGTGTAATCTCAGCAACTCAGGAGGGCTGCGATCTGAGGACTGGGGTTCAAAGCAAGCCTAGCCGGGGGGTGTGAGGGGGGTGGGAAGGGGAGACAAATCCACAAGACTCCATTTTCTAGTGGACCAGCAAAATGCCGGACTGGAGGCATGGTTCAGGAGGGGAAGCACCAGCCTTGGGAGAGCCGAATTCAAGCCCTAGTACTGGCCCATGCAACATGGACTGCAACATCAGACAGAGGAGACAATCCACAGGGTGTGTGTGTGTCTGGTTAGAGGGGTGCACAGATCTCCCGAGGGAGGGCTCGGGGGTTGCCAGGGGACACTGGGCAAACTCAAATTAAGATTTCTTCCCATCACTTTGCTTTTGGTCTTTCTTTTGAGGTGGTCCTGGGGCCAGCGCTCTACCCCTTGAGCCACCGCTCCACGGCCAGTTGTTCAGTGGCCAGCAGGAGAGGAGAGTCTCATAGGACTTTCTCTGTTCTGGTTGGTTTAGAGCTGCCATCCTCAGCTCGGAGCTTCCTGACTAGCTAGGATGACAGGCAAGGGCCATGGGTGCTGGATGTCTTCGTTGCTCTGCCCTGGGGCTTTTCCAGCTTTTGTACTCCCCTGGAGTGCTGCAGGAGGCCAGCCCACGGGCCCAGTGCGCACGGCTCCACAGCTGTGGCTGTTTTCCCATCTGGGAGGGAGGGAGGAGGGAGGGGGAAGGGAGGGGGCCAAAGACCAAAGTCCAGGGAGCAGGGACCTCTCTTCCCCGGCCTGTCCTCCGGTCACTGTCCTTCCGTGATCCCTGGGGCCTGGACTTTGCAGAAGCAAAACATGTGCACACACATGCACGCTCATGTGCACACACACACATGCACGCACATGCACCCAGGGCCCGGGAGGCCCATGTGCCAGTGTCTGGGCTTCTCCGTCACACACTCACAAAGCAGCTGCCACCGCCAGGGCCCCCCCACTCGCTGTGTGGCACACGCAGCACACAAAGACACCTGCTCCATGGCGACCCGCGTCACCCACCGACACGCAGGAGCGGGCGGCGCCCCCTGCCCCACCTCACTCGGAGTCCCCTCACCCCGTCCCCCTTCTGCAGGCCCCCACAAAACCCTGCCTGCCTCCATTTCCCACAGCAGCACCCCACAAATCCCGCCTGCCCCCCCCACCTCGGGGGTGGGGTGGGGAGCGGGGAATCAGAGGAAAGCTGGAAAGGGGAGGGGGGTGGGCAGAAGGGAAGGGAGCCAGGCAAAGCGAAGCCTTAGCTTTCCCAAAGGGTGTCTGTCTGCCTGTCTGTCTGTCTCTGTGTATTAGGAATCCAAGAATTGGGGGTGGGGGTCGGATCGGATGGAAAGGAAGGCACGGGGGGTAAACAGAGGCAGAGCGGGTTCCCGTCGGGCACCGAGGGGAGGGGCCGATGGGGGAGGGGAAGGGCCGTCGTGTTGACAGCGGAGGAAGGGGGGTCAGGGCTGGACGCCCCCCCCGCCCCTCCCCGACGGGGCGATCGCACCGGGCAGGGCCGGGCACTAGGGTGGAGGCGGCGGGGACGGACAGGCCCGGAGGGGCGGAGATGGGGGGTGATCGACAGGCCCGGAGGGGCGAGCACCGGGGGACAAACAGGCAGAAGAGGTGGGGATGGAGGTGGACAGGTCGGAGGGGTGGAGATGGAGGTGATGGACAGGCCCGAGGGGGCGGGGAGAGCGTGATGGACAGGCCCGAGGGGCGGGGAGAGCGTGATGGACAGGCCCGAGGGGGCGGGGATAGGGTGATGGACAAGTAGCAAGGATAGGGTGATGGTAGGCTGGAGGGGCGGGACAGGGTGATGGGCAGGCCGGAGGGGCGGAGATAGGGTAATGAGAAGGGCGGAGATAGGGTGATAGGCACGGCGGGGGCGGGGCTAGGGTAATG